CACACCATATAATTTATGTCGTGCTTAATTTAAATTTATCAGGAATCGGATCAGAAAGCGGAGCCGGCAAAAATCGATGTTGGCTAAAGTCTTAGGGTCTTTAACGTTAAATTACTCTCCATATGGAGGTATATTAGGAGGAATCATGTGAAATTCCCTGTTTTCGCTTGTCGACACCCATTTAATTGAGTATGTTAAGTAAGGTCAGTAGTATAATATGTATGAGTAAAATATATTTTATACTTACGCTTAACTTTAAATCCGAATGAATTGTCTAAAAATATCATGTAACTCTGACTTGAAAGAGCGCTTATATATTTATTTTCTATCATATCATTCAAATCTTGTATGATATCGTCTACATTCGGATTGGTTAAAGGATCTTTTGCCTTTTGAATTGAAAATTTAATTAAAAGACCAGCAGAAGTTGATTGAATATTTCCAGTCCTTTTTAATCTGCCTTCATCAATTGGAAGGCTGGACTTAATTTGCTGATATAAATCTGCCAAAAATTTGGTTCGATCAGATTGGCTTTTTTCGTAATAGAATTATGATCCATTCAAGTTTAACCTAATTATCGCATCTGTGGAATCTATAAATAATAATTAATAAAGTTTATTTACACTTGTAAAAAGGACAAGAAAGTTACATATAATTACCAACAATTTTTGCATTATTATATGCTACAAATAACAATAATTAATAAGATATTTTTTAATGTAATAAATTATGTAAAATAAATGGCAATAAATACTTTGAGATGTCTTCACATGCCAAACATTTTGTTCAATTCCACTCAATGGTTCTTCATAAGATAATGCTTTGACAAAGTTATTATCTGCGCTAATAATATATGTACTGTTTATTTTATTGAATGTACTTTTTAAGACCTTGCATGACAATGTAAGAAAATCATTAAGTATCTCACAATTAGTTGAAGCTTCATAAGATTGACGTAATAAATAATTATTTTCGCTTATAATTTGGTAGATCGAAATGTTTCCAGTTGATAGCATAATTTTATTAATTAGTGTGATGTTAATATTATCCATAAAATAAAGAGGCAATACTGCATTGATAGCCGGCTGTGTAGACGAAATTGCTGGGTTATTAAAACCAGCTAAGTAACATATACAAATTATATAACATTAAGATTTAATGAAAAGATCTAAAAAAATAAAAGATCAAGAGAGAACAAGAGAGAACTTACAATCATTGTAAAATTTTTTAATATTTGTAGTGAAAATAGACCAGTTGCTCGGAGCAGGTGCATAATAAGCCATTGCAATCCAAGCTGTAT